GTAGTTGTATACATACGGCATATATACCTATACACTCGGGCAGACCGTTCGAGATTTGACAACATCTCATACCAGGCAGAATTGTTTTTGACTAGAAATAAGAACTAGTTAAGAACCAACTCAGCCTGATCCCTCACTAAGCCACGGAGTATATAAGTACCACTTCAGCCTGACGTAAAAATAGTGGGGTTTTTTGCAGTTTTTATTGTATACTACACACTGACATCACCCAATAGTGTCAAACTATCGGTGTACGGATCGAATTTGCGGTTGTGTAGGTATAGCCTCTTAAATCTATTATTATATCTTTATTTAACCATGATTTAACTAATTGTAAAATTTAATATGTAAGTGTAACTATTGTATATATTTTATCATCACGCCCCTCTTGGAAATCAGCAAATGCTGAAGGGGTTATAGCGTGTTTAAATAAAGTTTTATCTGCATCTACAACCCGAAATTTCGTTCAAAGGAAAATACAAGCAGAGGCTGCAAGCAGACTCAGGGTTGTAGGCCGTAGGTTCGATTCCTGTTTGATAACTGGCTATGCTTTTCCCGCGGCTCGAAATGTCACCATCTACATGACAGAAACCCTTCAACATTTTGTTCTATCGGGCGTGATGCCCAGAATATTGAATATTTCCTTTCATATATACATGCATGGAAGTCACTCGACTTACTTTAAAGCGAGAAATTGGCTTTGGAGTAGAATGTGGTTTTCCATAATATTCATCGAGGAACTCGAGAATTTCGTTGTAGTTTTCATTAAGAACGTCATCACCTTTACTGCTACTACCAGAGAGTTTGGACTGCTCTTTCTGCATGGTGGAATACCATCACAAATCTAAAATCAGTAAAATACAAAATTAAAAACAAGCTGCATGAGAACCCTGGCTGATGGCATGCCAACTTCACACGCGTGTAGAAGCAAGACAATTCAATTTAATATACTGTTCATTTTAAAGACAAAACTACCAGTTATATAAAAAAATTAACATTTGTTCTCACTCTGTTAACTTTCGGGCATACCTAATTTTAGTGGTACTGACCAATTTGTACAGTAATCAAAAGTGAAAATGTGCAGTGATAATAATTTGTGGTGATAAATCCGTAATTAATAATCAAATTGATGCAACTAAAAACCACCTATTAGGGGCGGACCATTAGAAAATGGGGGAGGGGGGGTGGCAATTTCAGAAAAAAAAATCGTGCAAGGTCAGTTCAGAGGAAAAAAAAATCTTGCAGAAACCCAGCGTGGGAAAAAAATATCTTGCAAGTTATTAGACCAACATATATTTAGGTAAAGTTATAAACCTCAGAGAATAGTAAATCAATGGAAATATATAAACGTAAAAAATTATACATAATGTAGACTGTAGTTATATTAAACATACACATCTCAGTCTAAAATATTCAGTTGTACTGTCTTAAAATAACCTGTATTTAAAATATAAAGTTGATTTATATACAAACACTATATATTAACAAATAACAACATAAAATAACAAAAACAGAAAACTTTCACCATGTTATCAGTATCAGTTGAATATAAATGTTATCTTCCTTTTAATATCACAGCATGTTTATATTAAAAAAAAAATCGTGCAACACAAGCATGGCTGAAAAAAAAAATCTTGCACAACGTTGTTGCAAAAAAAAATATCCTGCCCGAAAAAATTGCCACCCCCCCTCCCCCATTTTCTAATGGTCCGCCCCTTACTTAAGGAATGTGCAGTGACAAACATTCATAAAATTAAGCATGTTGCCGGGTGACCAACATGCACGATAAAATGGCTACGGCTTATTAACGTACCAAATTGTTCACTCCGATCCATGACCATATATCTTAGTAGGTCTGCATTAATATTTATCGACCTCACGTTCTAAAGCACATTATGTGACATAAGCAATCAAGTAGTTTTACTCCATGTAAATTCAGTTGACAGTTCTTTCCTTGATAAGTTTCACCTTCTCGACTCGTGCAAGATTAATTGGTCGAACGAAGATGAGAGTGTCAAGAGTTGACAAGCTAGAGCTCATGAGAGCCTTTCACTGACAGCTCTCGTGTCCCAATCTAACGATACAAGCCGTTGAATGGATATTGACGAGAAGCGTTCAAACGCGAGAGAGGATTGCAAACACTCTCAATTCTCGTTTGACCGAGACTGTTTAAACCGTCATTATCAGTTTCTTGACGACTTTCTATACGCGGTTTGTGAATTGGAAGCATTTTTAACTCCCGTTTAATTTATAAGTCTCAGATTAGATCTCACTTTGACTTTGTTATATATAATCAATTTAAAATGCAGTAGAAAACATGATTAAGGCCCCAGTTACACGATACCAGATTCGTATCGGAGCGACATCAATTAAGGTGTTTTCCAGTCCTGTCTGCTATTACAACTTTTCATAGTCATATCAGAAGTTTTTGTTTAACTATGTTATATTATCATAATATTAAGTGCCAAATTCACCTCGAAGCAGTAAAATTTGATGTCGCTCCGATGCGAATCCGGTCGGTATCGTGTAACTGGGGCCCAAGTTAAAACCAACGAATTTACCTGATAAAATTGATTTAATAAAACCAGATACCATCTCTCTGACAACCACTTGAATTCAGGCAGGATAAACCAACATTTTGTCCCAAACGTGGTAACCAAAGTATGTTTAATTAAGAAAAACTTATATGACGAAGTCACCGGCATATATTCAGGCGATACACTATACTTAGGGTAAACGTCAATATTCGCTTGCTTCGAACCACATTCCCAGACAAAATGTCCACGCTTTGAAGACCCGATCAATGTACAAGAATTTGAACTTATTTTAATTCAATTCAAATATATTCTTTGCTGTTTGTACATTCAAAAATCTTGGCGCTGAGCTGTAGTTAATGATATTCGTTGTGTATTTAGTGAGGTTTTTCACCCACACACAAGTTCGCTAGGACAAAAGATTTTCACAATTCATTGGGTGTAAGTGAGTCTTCAGTACATAAGAGATTATTAATGAAGTGCAAGTTATTAGTGAGTGACAGTTTTCGTGTAGTTAACCAGCGCTCAGAAGAATGTCGAATAATTGTACTGCACATTCCAAGCGCGAACAGCAAGATCGGTGGTACATCAAGTTTTAATATTTTCAGCTGTTTAGGTAGCCGATGACCATAGCTCCTTTTTGCTTTTGGCAAAACCGAAACTATTGAACTAACATCAATTGTTAGAATTTGAATGCTCTAGCACTAAGCTGAACGCAAAACGCACACGCCGATTTTCTGCTCTTCGCAATTTAAAGCAGTTTCATAAACAGTTTCTTTATATGCATAAAATTTACTGTCTTATGTCAAACTTTTATGCACTTCAGATTTGTGGGTTCAGCAGAGTGCTGAGGCATTCACATTCTAACAATACGTTATTTCAATGGATAATAGACAATAGTTTTGGTTTTTTTGGGAGACTCTGTATATTTCACGCAAAAATCTTTATATTATTCCTATTATACTTTTGGCACTTGGAATGTACATTTGAATTTTATTTCTTGTGACAATCTTAATTGAAATAGCTGGTATATAGGATATACAAACACGAGTCAAATTATATAGCTTGCCGATTTTTTAGTTGACTGAAAATGTTTGGATTCCGATAACCTTATGATTGGCGAGAGAAATTAACTTAGTAAAATCGGCAGGATCGCAGTCATGATTTTCTTCGTGTTTTCTTCACGATTAACGAGATCAGCAAACCCTGCTTGGAACGGAGTGGGACGTTAATTATTCTGCAATTGAAATAATCTGCCCGGACTTCAGTATTCTCGAATTTTCGTTGCATCTATTAAATGCTACCCTGGTTGCCAGAGGTTCTGTATCTTTCGCCTTATTCCCGCTCGTATATTTATTTTACGCGAGGCGAAGAGAACCTCTGGTGGCACGCGATACAAATCTCACTTCCATGCTGACGTTGCCGTTGAGAACTTGCAAAACCGGTTTTATATTTTGTGACGTTTTTAAACTTCCGGGTTTGTCATACTACCAAAATAGCTCTCTTCAGACTGTTTGGCAGCCTTGTGTAAAGTATTAAAAATAAGCAGCCCAAACATGTAGGTTATTCATTAGAAACATGTAGATTATTCTCGCAACGCACAAAGCCACCTTATATACTGATTGTTAAATTTGTGGAATGCCGTTTGTAATAGCGAACGTTAGGAACGTCTAAAGTCAAAAGTGAAAGAATATAAATATATAAATATTTATATATATATATGTGTGCAACGGAGCCAGTATGTACGTTGTCCTTAACAGACAACGGGAAAATATTGGCAAAATAAATCATATTAATAACTATTAAAGTCAAAGAATTACCAAAATTTAAAACCTTGAACGATATAAAGCAAGTGAGTGACCAACACTATATATTTTACAAATATTAATACTGTAACTGAACATCTCATGCCGTCAACTCAAGTCATGCCGCGATGGCAGGTCTTCTCCAGCGCAGAAAATCGTTTTATAGCGAAACAAACTAAGTTAATCTCAAATATATAAACCCACACCAAGTAAAGCATTTTAATACGTTCGTATTATTTCTGCATTTTGTTTACATCATGTTCTCTGAGATTTATAAACAGGTTTTTTTGTCTAGCCAATCGCATCACTTCATGTGACTGCTAATTATAACTAACCAATCATGTGCTTGGTACAAATTTTGTACCAAAGGAAGAGAGATTTGTATCGCGTGCCACCAGAGGTTCTCTTCGCCTCGCGTAAAATAAATATACGAGCGGGAATAAGGCGAAAGATACAGAACCTCTGGCAACCAGGGTAATTAAATGCTAAAACAGTGTAAACTATTCAAAATTCCACTCCAGGTTTTCGCGCTAGATAACCCGCTCACTGTGTTTTGAAAGAGTGGATCTTTCCCGCCTTTGGTTACAACCAATCATAAGGTTTGATCAACTGACCAATCACAGGACAGGAAACGAAATTGTGCCTCTTTACAACATGGTCAGCGGAATCCTTAAAGGTAGCCATTTTGTTTATTTCTTTCTGAAAATTTAATATTTCTTTGGCATTAATATTCAAGAAATTCCAACGTTTATGTTGTTTTCATATATGTTCAGTAAAGATAAAGTACATGTGCAAAAATTAGGCTATGTTTAGGTATAGCTTAATCCTGGTGGAGGGTTTTTATAAAGCACGTTTAACGTATGATGTCGTCTCGAAGAAAAGTATAAATATTCTGCAGAATTTGGCACGAGGTATGTAGGCTATGTAGCTTGGAAAGGCATTTCACAATAAACTTTAAAGGTTTACTATGGAGCCTTCCTACACTATGTAGACTGTAATCCACCCTCCACACACAGATTGCAGATGGGTTCCCCACCCCCCCCCCCCCCCCCCCCAGTGTGTAAATCCATGTTGATGATATGATCAGCCAATCATGTTCCCACATTTAGAAACAGACTTGGCAATGGTTAATGTTATTTTTCTTCATATAGGAAATTCAACATTAACTTCAGTCAACAAACCAGCTTCTATATTTCCATTCCTGTCTAATCCATTGCAATACAATGAACATCAACAAGAAATAAAATGTCCCAAACATTCTGGTTTTAATATCTCTTTCCCATCCCTGAAAAACTTTATAAACAACAAGAAGCTTCCATCTATAAATTTTGACAAAAACATCAGAAATCAATATTTCGAAGAAGAAATACTGGACATTGAAGGAAGGAACAATATCTATTGGATGGGAAGCCTACTGAAAAAACGTCGCAGAAAAATGAACCGACAGAAGTATAAAAAGCGAAGAAAAAGGGATAGATTTAAGAGGGAAGCTTTGAAGAACCTTCGAGAGAAGAAACGCCAGAGAAAGGAAAGAGCCGCCGAACGAAAACAAGCAATTCTTTCAAATATGGTTGTGAATAAATCTATTTCCAAGAGACGAGCTAGATATCTTTCTCATAAACTGCTCCCAGGTGTTATTAAGGGACAAGGTCTTGGATAATTCATTTGTGTACATGAAAGTGATGAAACTTTAAATACAACGTTTTAAACTAAAAGACAATGTTTTTATTGCAGTCACTATATTTGTTCCCCTAGTGTTCATACAACACTTTATTCATAGGTTTCATATTTTTTATGCATCTTATATTATATAATGATAAATTTCTCAGTCTTCTTTTACAGTATAAAATTTAGTTATTCTCCTGAGTAGATGCAATTATTTCATCATCAATATTGGACAAATCATCTTCACATCTTCACTACTAAAATATATAGAAATAAAATATTTGTCATTTATGGTTGCTCAAACACAACACGTACCAGACAGAAGTATGGATGACCAAAAAAGAAACACTTCACCTTCGATAAAGCATTTGTTCACATATAAAATGTTTCTGCATCTAATAAGATGGTTGTGGCTGACTTGGTTTAGGTTCCGGTATACCTTGGTATTCCTGCTCGCCTGGAAACATGGAGAAACCGTTTGAGAAACATTTATAATATCTCTGTAATACATAAAATATGATAATGTACCTGGAGAGGAGGTAAATGCCTGGGTGACTCTGGTATAATCAAATGCACCTCCATGCTCTTGATATCCAAGTAAAATAAATATGATTGTAATAGGCTAAAAATACAAAGAGTGTATTTCATTTGATGAATGTGGGGTCCCAGCGATGGACACTATAATTGAAAGAATACAGATTCAAAGAACTTTGATGTTTCGAGTGAAGGCCCTTTGTCTGGAAATGTACTTTGAAATGACAGTATATATATCTCCTTCATCTACATTTCAACCATTCTTTGAGAAAAATATCTGTCTTTCACATTTATAGTTAGTATTAAAAAACTCAATAATTCAGGAGGAAAACACAAAGAAAAATCATAAGCGTGTCGTATCTTTATATGTGATAAAAAATCATGTTACATAAACTTTAGCTTTGATTTTCTCGGTTTAGACAAAGTTTATTTTAAAAATTACTTCGCCAATGAACTTGTATAAGATGAGTAGTTTTTAAGCCATTTAAAGCACTTGCAGTCGTGTTTTATCACATATAAAACACTCTGCTACGCGTTGTGTTTTATATGTGATAAAACAATCCTATGCGTGCTTTAAATAGTACGTAAGTCACTTAATTAATTACCTTTAAAAATAGGTTGATGAATGTAAATCTAAAATTGACATAGGTTAAGGAGAGAAAATTGGACCAGTTTACAGGCTGGGGCCTGTTAGCTAGAATTCTAGCTGACAGGCCACGCTGCTTTGAAATGGCGATATATAGAAAATGAGATAGCAACATTGGACACAAACTCTGCCTAAATTGCAATAGTGACATGGAAAAGGAGAAAAAACAACGAAATTCCGAAAGTGACATCGCAATATTTTAGAGCAGCAATATTGCTTGTTTTTAAAATCAGACAAGTGACATGATTACCCACCCTTAAGCCGGTTTTCCACTAGCGAATTTTTTTGTGCAAAGCGACCTTTTTGCTTTATCAGCATCCATTTTGCATCCTTTATCAGCATCCATTTGTTGACGTAATAAGTGATATTGAGAAAGGAAAAAGGACACTTCGCGCGCGAGAATTTGCTAGTGGAAAACCGGCTTAACAGCTGGGCCATTTCACAGCATGATTATGCATTAACTATTGAGGGTAGCACTAAAGATTTTTTATAAGGATACGCAACAGCAAATCTTCTGTCAGAAGACTGTTTGTCTATAAATCAAAACAGAACACCAAGCTTTGAGAAAATATACAATTTGTAAAAATTTAATACAATGCACATTGGAGCAGGGCAAAAAAAACTTTTTAATTTTTACATACTTAGATATGAATCATACCAAATTCCGATCAAGACACAATCATTTAATAGAGCAAACAGGACAGATATAAGAAACTAAATAAATGATGAAAAATCATTAAAAACTTCTGAGTGTACAAAAAACCAAAGCAGATGGTCTTCAAGAGTAGTGATAATGGTCAGGTGGTCACAAAAATTCCAGAAAATTGGTCCGGGATAAGGATTCCAGATTCCTATGATGTTTGGATTCTGGATTCCACTGTCTGGATTCCGGATTGCAAAGCTACTAAAAGTCGGATTCTGGATTTCCTTACATGGGGCAATACAATGATCTGATAATTATGGTGATAGTTTTATTATGTTGGTGGTGATGGGTTTGACTATGTTTGTTGCGGCTGATGTCAATATAATTAACCAAGTTTTAAACAATTAACCAGGGTCAAGTTGGCATCGGGTGTCGTATTAATCTTTAATTAAATAACACCCTAATATTCACCCTAATCCCTCCAACGAGTGCCCGTAAGTTAGTCAAAGAGGGTGGTGATGTCAATATAATTAACCAAGTTTTATTACCACTTGATTGGCATCATGACTTGATGGTTGAATCACAACCCATACACCAAATGTTAACATCATTAAATGACAAAACAAGTAGCTTGATGGCAACCATTTGAATGACTCTAGTCTGCAGAGTAAAAGAAATATAAAATTTGAATGCCTCTAGTCTGCAGAGTAAAGAAATATAAAATTTGAATGCCTCTAGTCTGCAGAGCAAAGAAATATAAAATTTGAATGACTCTAGTCTGCAAGTAAAGAAATATAAAATTTGAATGACTCTAGTCTGCAGAGTAAAAGAAATATAAAATTTGAATGCCTCTGGGTCTGCAGAGTAAAAGAAATATAAAATTTGAATGCCTCTGGGCCATTCCATTTAATATACACACCCCCCTATGGACGAGAATTTCCGAGGGGGGTTGAAAAAGGCGTTTCTGAGGGGATGTGTGCATCGGCATCCTTTGATCTTTGCGTTTTTTCTGAGGGGTAAGGCAAAAATTTCTTAATTTCTGGGGGGGTGTTTGTGTCGGCACTTTGATCTTTTCTTCTTAGGGGTTCAAAATTTATTGGCCTCGTACATAGGGGGGTGTGTATATTAAATGGAATGGCACTCTAGTCTGCAAAGTAAAGAAATATAAAATTTGAATGACTCTAGTTTTATAGTACAGTGAAAAATCTCAATAATATATATTTATCACTCACCATGAAGTGAACATAAAATGCAGTAAGATAAAAACCTAAAAATTAAAAACTATCAATTGCAAAGTAAAGAAATATAAAATTTGAATGACTCTAGTTTTATAGTACAGTGAAAAATCTCAATAATATATATTTATCACTCACCATGAAGTGAACATAAAATGCAGTAAGATAAAAACCTAAAAATTAAAAACTATCAATGTGTTGTCACGAGATGTGATATGCACATGACTGTGACTGTCGTAATTTTGACAGGAGTGAATCATAATAACGATACTGAAAGTGAACTAACCAAGCTTTAGAGTCAACGCACACATTTTAATAATATATTGTAGGTGAATGTCATACCTTCACTGGTATTGTAGGAAATTCCATGATGATAGTTGCAAATTTGCAACCTACACAAATTCTATATATATTCAATTTTGATCAAGAAAAAATTTGAAGCTTACTTTCACTTTGTGGATAGATATTGATGTCTGTGGATATTTATTGATAGTTGCAGATAGCCATAGATTCTCGATGATAGTTGTAAATGCTCAGTGATAGCTGTGGATGTTTGTTGATGTTTTATTTAATATGCACATCTGAGACTGGACGATTCATTATATTCGTCGTATTTTTCAATTTTTAGCATTCGCTATTTCTTTCCGCCATAAATGAGGGTGTCCCACGGGGTTCCCTTGGAAATGGTGCCATGAATGTTCCCTTGTCCCCCCCCCCCCATTGCAAGATATGCCTTGTCCCTTAAAACCCCTCATAAATCCATTATTCATTAATCCGGATTTTTTAAAACCTGGGGCCAGTTGTATAAAGTATTAACTACATCTCAACTACCCGACTTGTAAGTTGTAGTTATATTGTAGCTTACTCGATGATTTATACATTTCCACTATAAACTATAGTTATTTATACAACTAGCCCCTGTTATTCATTATTCGCCTCCAGTCCCTAGGGGAGCGTTCCTTTAGTGCAGTCCGGATTTGGATCTTCAAATCTAGGGGTGCACCGGATTTGGAATTTTCAGATCCGGTCGGAACCGGATTTGGACAAAAATTCCGGCCGGATTTGAGATAAACCGGTAATGGGGACAATTGGGGCACGGGCAATAGGACAGGTGTAGTGTTGTTAAATATAAAGTTAGAAATGGTATTATACTTACTCATGCATTATAATTTGTTTAAAAGATCAGAATAT